CACTTACGCTACACTCATTACTTACTTATCCTCTACGTGCCTTTGGGCACTTAAGGCCTCTAGCATATCCCTTCAACGCCTCCTGTCTCTAGCAATAGATCTTGCTCCCTCCCAGCCAGATATTCTACATTCTTTTAATTCGCCCAAAAACATGCGCTGGATGGTAAGTCTGTGTCTTCCTCTTGTTCTTTTACCATCAGGGGCCCATGTAAGCGCAACAGATGTAATTTTTTCTTTGGGCATTCTAAGGATGTGTCCGAGCCAGCTCCATCTTCGTTTTTTAATTTCATCTTCTATTGTTTCTATTTTAGCTTTCTTTAATAGATTTTGATTTTATACTTTGTAGGGCCAGAAAATTTTAAAAATAAATCTTAAATATTTGTTTTGAAAGGTTTCTAATTTTTGTATTTCGATCTTAGTCTGTTTCCAGGTTTCTGCGCCATATAATAGTACTGCTCTAACAATAGCTTTACGCTACACTCATTACCACTTAGTTTTGAGAATACTGATATTTTTAATACGTATTAATAACACACTCGAATCGCGTATTTAAATGTGCACTCTATTTGTACCGATTTCATTGCAAATCAAAGTTTTTTTTTTATTTCTTTATTATTCTTTCAGTGTCCACAGTGTTCTGAAAATCCGGATATTAACTTCGTTTATATTATCTGTTGATGCATTATCGTTTTTGAAAATCTCGATATTACATTTTATTTCACTATTAATCTAAGTAATTTTCTATTTTTTTTACAGTAATTGCTAAGCTTTTTTGCACAGAAATTTTCCATATTTTTAATACAATATTATTAATGTTTGGCAAGTTTCGAATCGCGCATTTTAATAATCACTTTGGACGTACCTTATTTGTGCCGATTTCATCGTCAATCCAGTTTATTTTTCAATCGTTTTTTTTTTTTTTTTTTTCGTCTTCTTTTATAGTTTTCCATTTCCAAAAGTTTTTTTTTAATAATTTCAATATTTTTAATACAATAATATTACAACACGCAAAATAAAATTCGGAAGTGGGTTTTTAAACTGTTTACTGTTTTTAACTTTGCTTCCAATTTTATGTTGTTTAAAAAAGCGCTTAAAAAACCGATTAAAATGTAACATTCATAAAATATTCCTTAATTCACTAAATTTATATGTCCTAAGTTAAAAATGAACTGGAACAACTACATCCCAACTGAATGTTGAATCTTATTTTGAGCTATAAATGCCTCTGTTTTGTTTTAAATCATTTTAGATCCCATGAAATTTTTTAATTAAAATATTTCATTTGCATTTACATTTCTCAGAAAATTTTTATTTATTTTCTTTCATGAAAACTACAGTTAATTTAAAATAAGCCTTTGTGTCCCGGGATGAGATAAAAAGCCATTGATTTTTCCTCATCTTTATTTATATATATACAATATATAAATAAATACCAAACTCTCTCTGATACTTTTCATAAGAAAAATATTTCCTTCTTATCAAAAAAAATATATATATGTATATATATATTCTTTTTTTGATAAGAAGGAATTTTTCTTTTAAATAAAAAATATCAGTTCGGTATTTTTCAGCTTTGAACGAATTTTAATATTTAAAAAAATTTAACTTTACGCTTATATATTGTGATTGTGACAATATATTACTGCAAATATGTTGACTGATAAAAAGAATTGCGTCTAAAACACCGATGATTACATTAAAACAATCATCATTGCTGTCAGCATGACTAAATACTTCGGCATGCAGTCATTCATTACTTAACCTGCAGTACAAGTGGCTCTTCATTCAAAAAGGTTGGGCACCCTATTTTCATTTCTATTATTTTATGCTTCACATTTCAATCATTTTTTACAAAACCGTATTTTATGTATGCAAACTTCATATTATATTTTTAGCGTAGACTCCTTTTTTTTTTTTTTTTTTTTGCTGATAGGGTCCTGTTTTTGTGATTAAGCGAAGAAAAAAAATTATTGTTTTTCTGAAAAGAAAAAAAACTCAAAAACGAGGCTTTTCAAAGAGTCAAAGCATCAAAATTAAATAATGTTATCTATTCCGTTTTTAAAGAAAAAATTTCAACGAAAGCCCAATTTTTAAAATGAAACATACTGTGAAGGACCCGTTTTAACGATAAAATAATTGGAGAAAAGTTCATTAAAGGATCCAAATTTTTCCAAAGTAGACCCCAACATTAAATTAAATTAAAACCACTTTTGGATGCTGTTAGTTTTGGATATTTATACAATTTTACCCATGAATATCTAAGTTAAAAAAATCTTCTAGAAAGTATCAAGGAATTTGAAGAATTTCTCTAAATTATTAATTAAAAGAAAGAAAAAAATGTTTCCCTCTGTATAATTTTTTCTCTGATTTCTGCTAAAATTTGTAATAATTGTCAAAATCATCAATCCTTCATTCACACTCCAAACAGTAAATTTGCATTTTTATTACAAAAAAGAAAAGAAAAAAAAAGCTTTTCTTTTTTTAAATTAATGTATACCTAGTTCAGAGATTTTCAAAACATATTTTAGTTATTTTATGAACAAAGTTTGTCTTTAATATCTTGCATTAAGAAGAAAGTTTCTTAAAAAAAATGAATAAATATTATTTAACAATATAATAGCATGAACTAATCTTTCACTCTAAAGCATAGGTTCCCAACCTTTTCTAGATTACCACCCACTTAAAATGCTCCTTACAAAAAAAACAAACAATAATAACAATAAAAGTAAATAATTAATAAAATTTTTTGCCTTATTTTAAGTCTTTTAATATCTTTTTTTATGATACACTTATACAACAATATCATTATGTTAATGAAAATGTACCTAATGACCAATTTATATTGGAAAGGCATTCATTAAGTCAACAACCTGAAATTAATTGTATTTTATTAAATAAAAGAGAAAACACGTGAATTAAATAAATAAATTAACTTACAAATATGCAAATAATATATTGAAAATATACACTTAACTTTTTGTTTATATTAAACAAGGATAAAAATTTAAATACTCTAAATTTCTCGAATAACAAAATTTCTAACTTTTTTCTTTTAAAAAAATACATAAGTTAAGAGAAACTATCAGTCATTCAGACAAAACACACACAACACAGACACAAGGGGAAAGTTTCAAATTCATACAAAGATTATTGCCCTGCTCAACTTTAAGTATTTTCTGAGTGGGTATTACAAACCAAAAAATACTTAAAGGTGGTATTTTAAATTTAATAGTTTCAATATCCATAAATTTCAAATATATGACAATCAAAATAGGAAAATTTGTAAACATAAGACTATTTTTAAATTCAATTACTATATAGTAATATCTGTAAATTAATGGCCACAATTGAAGCGACTGGTGATTTATATTTCAAGTATTGTTTTGGATATATTTAGTTTTTTTTTTTGCTTTAAAATTAGAATTTTTATCATGGTTTTGAATATTATGTATGAATTTTAGTGTTTTAAAAATTTTTTATCAGCCTAACACTTTTCAATTTTTCTTAGTACTAAAGCTCTTTGTATTTATGGATTAGGGAACTTGTATATTTTTTCAATTACTGTCTCGCAGTTCCTAGTAAGTAAAGTATCATAACCACTTTATTTCACAAAGTTAATTAAATAGGGTTAAAAAAAAACTTTAAAAAGTTCAAAATTGATGCGAAAAACTTTTGAGTTATTTCATTTTATTATGTTTTTCATTAGCATGATACAGCTTCTCATTTATCAAATTGGCAACTGATTTAAGTCTTGAGGGTGACTTTTTATAGAGATACCAAAATCCCTTCTGGGCTATACAATTGTCACACCTGAGAATAGACAATTTATTAAAAAGCATGCTCATAATATTATGGGTGGGTACTTTTGACCCTCAAACTCATTAGCTCTACTCTCACTTTGTGTACATTTTCATGATTGACTAAGCAGTTTTGATTTAGCCATCGTGTGGTCCTGAATCGGAAAACCTAACTAATTTCAATGTTATCATGTATAAAATATTCTATTGCAGAAAATTTAACTACAATATGCAGCCAGTTTACAGTGATTTCCCAAACAAACTGATGGATCAAAGAAAACTTTCTTAGATAGAACAAAATCATTTTAGCCATATCTTTTAAATAATAGAATAAATTTGAAAACTTAATATTATAATATTACAACCACAGAAAACATAAGATTCAAGCCAAAGCTTCATTTAATAAGTTCAACAGCACATACTAAGCTATTAAACCTGCGTGACCATTGGAAAATCAGTTTGTTGCTATATTTGACAAATATCGAAAAATTTGTTGCAATACTGTTTCTTAAAATTTGCCTTATCTACAAAGCTGGGTATATTACAAAGTTCTAGAATTGAGCATTAAGAAATGCACATTAGCTATATAGACTGGTAATCATTTTTTGCTGATAATAAAATATCATAAAAAAGCACAGAATGATTCTGATGACTAAATGCTTAATTCTGATATAAAACATTCAAGTTAAAATTATGGAATTTTGGATTAAGTAGTTAAACTGAAATAATCATGACAGGGACAAACCACAATGACTTCGCATTTGTAAGGAATTGAACTTATTCATGTTGAGAAAAAAAACTGAAGATAGTGATGCGAGCAATAAATAAGCAAAACCCTAACCATCTATAACCCAACTGAGTAAGTATTAGCTACTACCACAGCAACAATTCATCTACATTTGAAGAATGTAAAATCACAGACCAATTGATTTCAAAACATAATCATTTTTTAATAAAACCTCTCCATATAATACAAAATTTTTAAAATGCTTAATTAAATTAAATTCCTACTCAATAAATAATATCATGAATATTTAAAATATTTCCATAATAAAACTATGAAATGTATATAATATTTGTAAAGTAAATCCATGTACTTTAAATAAAAAAAATAAAACAAAATCCGAAAAGGGTTAGAACTGAAAATTGTTATCAGACGTAAAAAATTTTAAGGAAAAAAATTTAAAATTAAAAAGTTCTTACCATTTTTCTTAAATGATCCAAAGCAACCGGATCCCCAACCAGGCATCCTTCTTTTAACGTTTATTCAAATTATTTTAAATAAATAGTTTGTTATTCAATATTTATTAGCTGACATAATTGGATCATATCATACTTCAGATACTATTGTCAGAACAGACATTACCTTCTAAAAAAATGTTTACAAAAAATTGCTCATTAAAACTTCTTCTTTTATAAAAAATCAAAATTCGAGCCGAATTCGGGACACAACAGAAAACAAACAAATAATGTGAACGAGAGTTTCTCAAAACAAGAACAGAATTCATCGAACGCATGCGCACTCTCATTAGAGAAAGTTAAAAGTCAAAACAACACAAAAGCTACTATGTACAAAATTCTAAACTTCAGCAAGCGCGAATTTCACATTTAATAGGACAATAAATGTTTAAAAAATTATAAGGCGGTGAGTAAATACAATAAAAATTGTTAAACGAAACTCCCATGCAAAACAGTCTGCTTATTTACTTTTTGCTAATGTGAAACCGGTAAAAAATACATCATAATTTTTTGCAAGTAGAGGTTACGATTTTGATTCTCTGTAACAACACTGAGGGCGCCATCTAGGAGGGACAACGGTTCCATGTATTGAAAAAAAATGTTGCATTGATACGATACGATTGCAGTATTGTGCGAAAATACCTATTTTGTCAATGGTGCTGCCATCTCGTTACGATTATTTCAAATAAACTTGAAGTATCATGCTAAAGAAAACTAGGTTTTAATGCTACTAGCATGTTAAATTTTTTAATTTGTCAAACTTTTTTTTGGAAAGATTATATTTAAGTAGATAGAAAATAATTTTTCTAATTATGTTGGCTTTTTGCTAATTTGAAATTGTAAATTAATCCTTCATGATGACCAAACAGAACTAACTGCTAAGTTTGAAAAATATTAATTTGCTAATTTAAATTATCTTAACACTTGTTACTATACTTCTTCCCGATGTATTTCTTTAATGTCTGTAATGTATTTCTTTAATCCCGATGTATTTTCCCTATGTATTTCTTTCGATGTCTTTTGATAAAATTCTGTTCTTATTTTAAATAATAAATAATCATATAAATTTACTTATTAACTCAGTTGTATGTATCACTGCTAAGCAATTAACAGTAAAAAATAAATATTTAGTTTATTTATAGGTTATTTTTAGTTTAATATTTTTATTAAGAACAAAATATATAAACGTGATTTGCTTGTAAAATTAAAATAATTTTGAATATAAAGAACTGAATACAATTTCAATATTAATAATTCAATTTCACTAATAATTCATACTAATAATTCCATTCTAATCATTACAAATTTAAAAATTTTAAATATTTTTCTTCAAATGGACAGATTTTTGCCAAAATGGAATTTTTTTTTCTAAATTAAAGAATTTTAGTAAAACCTTACTTCAAAATTATTAATAACAAAAAGAAAACTAGAATAATTTTTTTCTTCAATTTATTAAATTAAAAAAGAGATGCTGCAGTTGTTTATGCAATTTTGAAATGTATCAAAGGTAGTAAACTATAAAGGAATTAAAATATTTAATTTAAAAATATTTTTATAATTTTTTTTATCTAAATTTAATTTAAGTATGTATTCGAATATATAATTTAACAAATTTGAAATTAATAAATATGTATATATATAAATGCAAAATAAGCGTTTAGTACTTGATTTATAAATTTAAAATACCTTAAAATATATTGCGAAATAAATGCTCCAGTGCCATCGCAAGAAATTGAACTCCCGACTTCTAAGTTTGTAGGCTCGATTATAATTAACTTTAAATTTCCTTCATGTCTGAAAAAATAAATCACTATACTGTAATTTTAGAAAAGGCATACTAAGGGTATTAGGTAGTATATACTTAGAATACTCAGCTCTAATATTATTTAAATGAAGAAATTAAGGATTGCAAGTCTTTGATTACCATGTTAAGAATTGGAACATGCTATGAAAACATGATAACTCAGACAGACTATTCCAATTACCGGTGCTACGAGTGGAGTGTAGAAATGGTGCGCAGCTTTTCGGAACTATTTTGGCATGAGCAGTTTGTCTTGTATAATATGTCATTGATTTTCATCAATATTGTAAAAAATATTTCTTTAAATTCCAAAATGCTTAATTATGAGTTTCGCTTTTACATGTGTTAGGTTACGATTTTTATGGCATTTTTTGTCATCTTACGAAGTTAAACTTATAACTTCTTTTCGCAAATTTATTATTGCCTTAATTTTCTTTTTTGTTTTGTTAATGAACCAAAATTAATAGAATGAGACGAAAGGGCTGTTTAAGTTATTCATGTTGGTCCTTAGCAAAGAAAATAATCAAAAATGTAAACGCGAAATAATAATAATGATAACAATAATGCATAGCTTTCTTTTTTAAAGTTATTTTAAGGAGATTTTTCCTTAAAAAAACTCTTTAACAGTTAAAGACTGCGTGATTATCCGCTTCTTTTTTGCAGAATAATTTTTTTACAATTATAACATACATTTTTCAAACCTTTTGAAAAAAAAGAAGTGGGAAAATGTCAGGAGTTGCAAACTTATATAAATGCGAAAAAAAAATCTATTTCTACTGACTCATTACAGAGAGTACAAAAACGCGCGATTTACTAACCTAATCCAATAACATTATGTACTCAATTTGAAATAAAAACATTATTGATTATCAGTAAAAGTCACAAACTATCACATTTCTTATGTGTGAGAATGTAGGTAATTCCATAATAGTTTCGAATTCATGAATTTATAAAAGGTTTTTATTATTAATAACGTTAAGATGTAATTAAAAATGTTCTATGCACGTAATATTTTGAAAACGCAGTTTATAATTTAACTTGGGCCGGGATAGCCTGGTCGGTAGGGCGCTGGGCCCATGTCCGAGAGTTCGTGGGTTCAAACCCCGCCTGCCTAAGACTCCCCGAGTAGTAAACGGCGACTGATGCACGTTAAATCTGTCGAGTTGCAAAGTCCTCTATGTTCCCATAACAAATCAAAACCTCTGGGGGTACTGAACTGGAGATCGATCGTTCTCTGATTCAGGTCAAAATTACGATCTGTGGATGAATGAATGGATGTATGAATGGGTCCACCCTATAAAACGGACTGTGACGTGTGTGTGGCTGAAGACGAATTCTTGGCCATGGGATGGCGACACTGAAACAACAAGAAACGCACACTGTGCTTTCAATTTGCTCGGTTTTACCAAGTAGGCTTGCCCGTGTGGCAAGCAGCATTAGAAACAACAACAACATAATTTAACTTTATAATTACTCAATTTTTCATATTATTACAGTTTTGTGAAACCTAACAACAATATAAGTGAAGTGAGTTTTATATAAATTTTAAAAAATAATATTGAGTAGTATGACAAAAATTAGTGCTTTGCTTCTCTTTGAAAATTGATTACTTAATAACGCACAATATATTTAAATGCTGGGTGCATGAGGCATTAATAGTACTAAGAATTCATAATAGTCTGAGAAGAATTCTAAGGAAATATCTAATCATTCATATGAATAAAAAAAGAATCCTCATATATTGTACAAGAATAAAGACTTAAATAAAACAACTGCTGTTTGTCTACAGGCTTGACTGCTACGCGTTGAGGGTAAAAATGATTGTAACAGGCAGCAATCCAAATGCAAATGATAGGAAATAAATAATAGTCAGTTAAAAAGTTATTGCCCTTATTTTGCTTTTGTATTTCAGATAATGTATTTTAATACTGCAAGTGAGAATCCAGTTAAAATTACATCCTTTTAAAATTTGTTTAGTTATAGATCGCGTTTTTTAACCAATTACATTCTAATTAAACTGTTACTGATCAAATACACAACAATTGCACTATTCCATATTATTTTTTAATTAATTTTTAGTTATTATTAATTTCCTTTTGTTTGCTTTTTATATATTATATATTAATAAAAATTATGCATTAATCTTTAACGCACTACAGTCAGACCGCCAAAATAACAATTGTATAGTTCCAGCTTAAAGATAATTAAAATAACCAACATTTTGCGACGGTCGTGTCTCTCAAAATAAAGTTCTTTTTCTTTTTATTGTCTTCAGGATCCTGAATAATTCATTCGTAAAGACAGGGTCGGACTGGAAGTTAGAGGCCCAGGAGTCCAGGGGAGAACTTGAATTCAAATTCCTTGAAAGAATCAAATATCCTTATTTTTTTAGAAATGCTAATAAACCGTTATTGATTTCACTTAGTAACTTGATTAGCAAAATCTATAAGAAAAACTTTAAACTTTCTTTAATGAGCTAAACATTTCACATTCAATTTTAAAGCACCTACTTTTTCGACGACACAGTTGATTTGAGAATTTATAATAAAAAACTTAAAAAAGTAGTTTTGTTAGACCTTAATTAAATTATTATCAATGAAATATATCACAGGAAACTAATTTGTTCTGTTTCCAAAAATATTTTTTATATTGTTTCTGAACCATCGACTGTTGAAACAGTTTCAAACTTCGTTTTAACTAGTGTAACCCAAAAAATTTCTTAACTCATTTGTTTTTACTTAATCAATATTTAAATTACCTGAAACGAAAATGTTTGGCAGAAATTTTTCACTAAGAGGTGCAATTCAGCTTTTAAGAACTGATAAGTAAAAATAATTTTCTGTAAAAAAAATATATATATATATAGACAATAAAACCAATTTATTTACTAGAGTTAGTATTAAAGTTAATTATTTTGGTGGTATGAAAAAAATGAAAGTACATTTTAGTTTTTTTTCCTTTTTTTTTTAATTGTAAAACTCTAGCCTAAATTGCATCAAACATTTAAAAAATTCTAAGCACGATACAATCAAATGTTAAAAACTATTGTTAACCCCTAAATTTTAAATTGTAAATTCATACTCTTACACCTAAAAATGGGTTTATGATTTATATCTTAGATAATCAAGTTTTAAAATAGCATAAAAAATTCAAGTTCTGCGCTCATTTAATAACATATTTTTCAAAATGTGTTCCAAACTTTTTTTAATGAGCCCTTGTTTAGTTGAAATAATAAAATCCCCGTACTCATAAAATGTTTGTTGGCAAGAAACAAATATTAGAATAATATTCTTAAAGAAATCCTTATTTGTTTTTAATGATATCATTAAAAAACAACTGCTTCATATTTTTCACATTTTATTGTTTCTTCCGGAGTATGTAGCTAATTAAAGTGTGTTGATGAAAACCCAAGTTAAGGCTATACAATTCCGCCAGTTTTTCCTTCAAAAAGCAGATTATTTACTTTAAACGGAAACTTCTGAACGCTATTGTTGTTTCGAGAATTGAGTTAGTTTATTATTTTACTTTCTTCGAAGTTGTTTATATAACCCTTCTTGAGAAAGCTGTTTTTATAAACAATATTGCTTGAAAATTAAGTATTTTGATTCACTTTCTTACGAGTTAGAGATTTCTTATTCGGACTGTGAAAACTGCTGAGAAAAGCCTGTAAAAACTTTCCTTAAGCAATTTTTTAAAATATTGCATAAATCCTCTGTGATAAACGCTCTTCCTAATGTATTAAATGATAA